CCAATGCAGTGAGTTCCTATAATATACCATGGCTCTTCAATGGGGTTTCCGATATTTCTGCCTCTGATTGATGCTTAGATCGTGTTGGAGCGTAAACGCTCCGTAAACCATGGACTTTCCATTGAGCTGATTCGATAGGAAACACCTCTTCTTATTACATCCAATCCACTGAGACTCCGCCAGCGCCTGGTGGTCTTTCATCATATTCCGCGGCTGAGAACCTCTCAGACGTTTTTCACCTTTTTACTCGCTCCACAATTTTTCTCTTTCCGATACAATGGGATTGTGTTCAGCCCGTGGCTGAGTATATGGAGATGAAGCACTGGAACAGTCGTGGGACTGATGTCGTACGGTTCTCAATCTATCTCGGATTGGCGGGACCAACTTTCGTGACGAGCCAGATCTCCCCAGCGAGTCTATGATAGACTCGCCCGATAGACTGTCTATCGGACATAATATACATATACTCAGTGATACGCAATGAGTATACTATTTTGATACTCCATGCTCTATTGAGGATTGACGAGCCCGGTCTTGCTTTGTTCGTGCGTGCAGTCCTGTGTACGTGCGTGCCCCGCAATTGATGGTGTTTTTTCCCTGAGCCATTATATTAAATGACATTGATACGCTCAATCTCAGTTTCACAACCGTAAACTTGTCTACTCGTTGTTAATATGGCGACACCTGAGGAGCTCGCTGAGCTCTCTGAAGCCCGTAGAGAGTTGGCCGCTACGCGCCGTTCCCTCCGGGATACTCGCGAGGCTCTCAACAACATCATCTCCGACGAGAAGGATGATACTCAGCAGCTTATGAGCGACCTCGCGTCCAAGGAGGCCAGTAATCTTTCTAAGATAGGTAGCCTCGAGGCCCGTATTGCTGAACTTGAGGCCCTGGCTGACCGATCCGTCAGCGAGATATCACGGAAGGAAGGTTTCAGTCGACTCTCTCCACGGTCCGAGGAGGAGGAGCATGAGGTGTATACCACTCCGAAGTCACGCTCCTCACGATGCCCGGCAGCGACAGTGACTAAGTTATGTCTGCCTCACTCTGTGAAGCAACAGATCTCCAATCGCACTATCATGCTATTGAACACACCTTCGTTGAAGCAGGAGCCGCTGAGTATCACCAGCAAGGACATTTGCTAGTGCACGAGGAGGTCAAAGTATCTGTCATGACCAAATTCCTTTCCTCTCTGAGTAATGTCCGACCGGTCCATAAGAAGGCCACTGTAGCGTCACGTACCCACTCACAGGATTGGAATTTGGTCCGCAATGTCCTTCTGACGAAGTATTGCCGCAGATCAGTGTTGAAGGAG